AGGCGGGGGGACGTGCGGAGGTGCCTCCTCCATTACTGGCGCAGCCAGCGGAGCCGCCGCGCCGAGAGGGTTCTCCCGCGTTTCCCCTCCGGCGCTTAGGCCCGGCACACCCCTGTGCTGTGCAGCCGCCGAACAGAGCTCTGCGCCACGCGCTGAGCGCGCAGGACAGAGGAGCTGCCGGGGCCGCCTGAATGGCAGTTCTCAGCTGGACAACAAAGTTTTGCGGCTGCTGTTCTGGTCAGCAGCGCAGCTGCGTCCTGTCGTCTGTGTTGTTTTGCTGCTTGCCATCCTTCCCAGCATAACGAGGATTGGTGCAGTAGTTCTTCCAAGTTCACTGCTGGAAAACTAAGGATCTGTGGCCGGTGGGATGAGATGTGCGTTGGGGAAGTCAGTGATAGATGGGCTGGTAGAGCAAAAAAAGCACTGTCCGGTGTAGTGGAAAACCAGGCTTTGTATTCACTGTGTTAAATCCTGGGGAGTTGCAATGCACAAACATGCATCTGTAAGCAAATCTTACAGAAGGGTTTGCAGTCAATTTAAATACCAAATCTTTAGTATCCTTTGCTTCTCTGTAAGACATGAATTCCAGATAGTGCCTACGGTTCTAGACCCCTTCCCAAATCCTATGCTTTCTTAACACTTACATCCCCAAGCCCTTTCGCCTGGTTTACTCATTGGCTAAGCTTTTGAAAGTCCTTTCTTGTGGAAGTCCTTTGGCTTATCCTCCTCACGGATTGACGCAGAATTAGTTGTTATTTTTGGTCAGTTCATTTAGGGTTATTTCCTAAAATAATTTCTACACTATTCTTGCTCTTTTCTGTGGTTGATCAGTACAGTGAAAAAAAGCTGTTACTTCTCTTAGGCACATTTTTCATAACTCAATGATTTTCATTAGCAATAGTTTTCTGATAACGTTTAACACTAATTATAATACAGCAATCTTGTACTTCTACTCCCCCCCCCCAAAAAAAAAATAGAAATTATATTCTCCCTTCCAGTGCCTACCTAATTTGGATATTTTTGTTTGCATGTTTAAACCAACTGCCAGAATTGGGTCAGGAAGGAATTTCTCTTCTGATTTGGACTGGTAGAGTTCTGCAGTTGCAGGAACATCCAGACATTCTCATTTACTAAAGTCCTTTCATTAAACAGATCATCTTTCCCTCTTTAACATAGTGTAATCTGAGGCTGGGACGCTGTGGTGTGCACAGAGCAAATACTTTTGTGTGAACCAAGTGTGTGGAATATGGGCTCACTAAGACTGCAGGGAATGGACCTGATGACCTGGGTGGTCCTTGCCTGGTCTGTGTTCATCATCTGCCCAGGCTCTTCTTGTTAATACATGGGCTTTTCAGTCTTTCCTAGCTGATTATACTAATTTTGGGAGTAACATTTTCACTAAATACATGGTTTTCCTTGTAGTTTCAATCACTGTTAATACTTTCTGCTGCTTATCTTCCAGCCTGCTTCTATTCCAGCTTTCTCCTCCTGTTACTAAAATGACTAGGGTAGACTTAGGTAAATGTTTTACTCCTTAAATTAAAATTCCTTGCATATAAGTGTATTTTATTTGACTCCTATATGCAGTTCATGCTCCATTTGTGTATTTTGGTGAAATCCATCCAGTAAGAATGCTTTCTGTGAATTTTTGCCAGTACAAACTTTCCCCAAATTAATAATGTTGTTATGCCTTTATTCTCTTCGCAGAAAGAAGTTAGAAAGAATTCTATCAAATAGCAATCAATTTCTTTCCTTTCCAGTCTCCTTCAACTTAGTTTCATACAAATGAAGCTCGCACAGAGGTAACCCTTGATAGAATTATTTTGAAAATTTAGCTACACAGATCTAATCATCTTAAAGAAGTAAGACTTTGTTAGGATAAAATTTTGTTTTTATTTTAAAATATAGAAGTACATACAGAGTCAAAGTTCAATGATAAAACTTCAACTATGAGAGCCTGAAAGGCACTTGTGCATGTTGGAAGTGTCTGTACGATGCATTTCAGGGATTAATTTACTGCATGGGTGAGCCTGCCGGAAACAACAAAGTAGTGTCATGGGCAAGTCTGATGTGTTCCCAAAATCTCCTGCAATATCTGTAAAAGCAGGGTGTTTGCAGGAAAGTTACTAGTATGTTGGAGCATTGCCTAAATACAGGAAATGATTAATGGAGAACAGTCATTATTTTCATTCTATGCTGCCTGGCATGAAGAGGTTTGTTTCCAGCTGTTCTCTGTAGTTTGCACCATTGTAAGGCATCACAGAATTAAAGCTCTATTAAAGTTTGGAAATTTTCTTAAATACACCAATAATGTAAGTTCTCAGTTCCCTTTTTACTACTAACTCCCTCTCCTTGGCCATGAAGCACACTATACTCTGTGAGCCTCATTCTGTCTTGTTTTCCAGGCTTGAAACAAATCTCCTTCCCCCAGAGAAGCAGAGACTGGAAGATGATTTGCAAATTAAATAGCAGTGGAGAAGACAGGAGAATGCAGAACATGCTTTGGAGAGAACAGAGATGATACAGCTTTGAAATATTCTTTTTTTGACAGCATTTCTCCATGCGGTTTCTTCATCCCTTTTCTCTCCTCCTTCCCCTGTTACTGTGAATGCCCAGGGTCTCTATGAGACAGATATTTTTTTTCCTTGCAGCCACTACTCTGATTTCACCCAACTACTCTGCTCCCAGCCCACATTAACACCTTTCACAGTTTGACACCTTCATTTTCATGACACCTATGGAAAGGGATGGGGCTTTTAGACATGAAGGTTCCAAGCAAACAGGATGGAGAATGTCCCCGATCCCAGAAAGACTCCCTACCACCAACCTGTGCATGTAAGGAAGAGGGCTAGGCTGCCAGCTGGTTCAGTACATCTCAAATATTCTGCGAGATGATGCTACCTTACCAACACACCTTGTATTTAAGGTACAAAGACATATTATGGTTGTAGTAAGAACCTATAAAAGCAAGAGAAAACTTTATTAGATGCACAGCGATGCACTGAGTTTCAAGAATCTGAGCAGGACACTAACCAAGCTTAACTCACTGTATTAAGCTACAGTTGAATAAGAGACCATCAATTTCAAGTAAAATCTTTCAGCCCAGTGGTCCAGGAGAGGGTTACCAACTGGTGCAGGCTTGACTGTTTTTCTCCAGAACACAGATTCCAGGTTGCCTCTGGGGGAGAATACTTGTCCTGCTGCAGGTTCAAAACTTGTGATTCCACATTCAGCTGTAGTTCAGCCATTGCCAATATTTAATTCAAGATGCTGAGAGGACTTTTTTTTTTTCTCTCAATGATCCCAAAATGAAGAGGGATTCAGGCACGCTCTTTGCCCTGCAGCCCCCCTTTTCTCATATCCTTTTCCCAGATGTAGGCCCGTAGGTACAGTCAGAAAAAAAACATGAATAAAAACAGAGCCTTCCAAGTGGCTTTTTCTTAGAAGATCAAGGCAAGTCAGTCCAGTGTCACCCATAGTCATAAGAGCAGAGTCACAGAAAAAAAATATATCAGGAGATCTGGAAACAGAAGGACCCTTATGCTGGCATGATGGCTTGCTGGATAGGCTAGAATCGAGGAGCTCCATAATCATCTGGCATCCTCTCAATATTGTACCTGTAAGAAAGAGGGGAACACCCATAAAGACAACCTTCTTGAGTCTCTTAGCTGAGGGTACATAATGCTACCAAGAGAACAGAACAAGATTTTTTTCCTCAGGAACATGTTCCATGTATTTGCCTGATAATACAGATGACATGGCTGATAAGCAAAACTAACCCATGGAAACACAGGCCTCAAGGAAGCTAGTTTTCCAAGTCAAAGCAAGTGATCATGGTGACTGCAAGCGTACGTCTGCTTCAGGCAGACACGAGACTTTTTAAATTACTGCATGCTATTGAAAAAGCAAGAGAGAAAGTTTGAACAAGCAGGCAGGAAACTCCTATCTGGCAACACTTCTACCCAGCAACCTTCCCTCCGGGGAGCAGTCCCTTACCTGTGCCTGGAAATATACATTATGGGCACTCCTGGGATTTTTCGTATTCTGCGCTTGAGCTCTTTATCCACCGTGGCCACTATGTAACATTTGTGCTGCAAAAAAAGGAGGCAAGTCAGATTCAACCCTAGTGAACTAGCGAGCAGACAAAGCTGAGCAAAAGCTTCTATTCACTTAGCTCACGTTGCACCAGAGTACAAGTCTTTCAGGAGACACTACCAGGACATGCCAGGATGCCATGTCCACAATTCCACAGCAGACTAGAAACATCCATCAAAAGAATCCAAGAAATATCCAAAGGCTGTACAGCCCCCTGGCCCTTCACACTCTAGAAGCTCTTTGATACTCTCTCATGCAAGAGCATCGTGCTCTTCTACAGGGACTAAAACTGCCTCTTAAGAGGATTTTAGTCTTTTCTTTGCAGGAAGTTTTTAAGTTATCAGTAGTTGGGAGGGTTCAGTACCATTTAGAGTGTTAGCACAGCATAGGAACTGTCAGGAGTACCTGAGTAACCCTTTGTACCAAGCAGTCATCTGCATAGGTCCCTTTGTGCATACAAGGCAGGCGCTCAAATCGAGGATCTTTGGCAATTCTGGAGGAATAGATAAGGCAGCATTGCAGCAGTCAGAGCAATAAAACTGAACACTATCACAGTACGGAGGGACAGGAACACCCCTTTTAGATGTATGGTATGCAATCCTTAAGCACAAAAGTGCTTAAGTGATGAGCAAATGATCAATTGAAAGGCTGGGTTCAAAATCTCCACAATGTTCTGTTCCTTGCTCTTGCCTAAAATTTATTAGAAACACTATCCATGCTGAAATCTAGAATATCTTCTAGTCCCTGATCTTTCAGACTGTACATACAGGGATACTTCACTTCCTCTCCAAAGTGGCACATGGAAGCTACGATGGAGCTGCGCTTAGATACTATACCACACAACTGGTCTAAATAAAAGGAATATATGTGACTGGTAGAGCAGGAGAGCACAAACTGCATTGGATCATTTTGTAAAGCTCGCAGAATAATCTGGTTCTAGATTATCAGTAGATGTTCCCTACTACTACAGGAAGTTATACAGGTAGTTATACAATTTATAGATCTATAAATTATATAATATATGTTATAATAATATATATTATTGTTATACACTTTTACCTAGCACTTAGTTTTGAAAAACTGTCTCAGATTTAGAATTATAGAATCATAGAATCACAGGCCTTAATACTGATTTCATACAGCCAGGGAAAGAAAAAAAAGGCAAGTCAGGGACTCTGGAACAACCTAAAAAATCCTCTAGAACAAAAGCACTATCAGAGAAAACTCCACTTCTTCATACTAGAACGGTAGCTTCTACAAAAAGGGAGAATCATGCTCCACCTACCTTAATGCCACACGATACCTCTGTCCTAACTTCTCAATTTCAGCCATTACACAATCCGTGATGCAGGGAATACCTGTATGTGAAAAGCATTGACAGCCTGTATCAGAACCACGTAGTATCCTTTGATGGAGCTCTACAGCACTGCTCACGTGCCCAGGGGCTGCTAGCTGTCACTGAACTCTGTAGCACATTGGTTAGTTTTAAACTTGTAAGAACTGATAAGGATGCAAAGTGATGGAATGTAAAGTCACTGAGTAGCTGAGCATGCAATAATGAGTTTAGATTCTAAAGTTATTAAAGTTTTGAGTTATTAAAGTTTGTGAGGTTAGTATTGAAGACCACTGTTTGACTGAAATCAGAGACAGCGTTACAGCCGTCAGGCGCCAAAGGAAGTGAGCTCTGTGATTAGCAAGGATCTGCAGCACCACATGGTCCACAAGCAGCAGCAATGATGCAGACACTCACACTTGGCATAGAGACAGTCCATCATTGACTGCACCAGGTCCAGCTTGGCTTTGATGGAGAAGTTGATGAAGTTGGTATCAACCAGGATGTGATAGGGAGGGCCCAGCTGTGTGTTGTACTGGAAGAACAAACACGAGGGATGCTGAGGGCTGTTGGAAAAGACACAGAATGTGTGTCAGCTCATGCTGAT